GCACTTTCTGGTTAGTGCAATCTACACCCATCACCTTTATAAGAACACGGACACAGATTGTCACCATCTACTAATATTGCAATTTGCCTTGCTTTTTGCTGCTACCATCACTGTATGCACCTTATTACGCCAACTGTGGATGTTTGCACGTGTCACTGTAACACCATTGAGCGTCATTTTACATAACGATTACCTATACGGCATTTTATCTGCATTAACCATATTGCATTGTCATTTATTTTATGATTTGGATGATTGATTTCTTATGAGTCTTGATGACTGATACTTATATATGCCTATAGTTCTCTACTAGCACTGTATGTTTATTTATGACCTCCCCATCATTGCTCTTGTGGTTTCTGCATTCAGCAGATCCGGCGGCTGACTCCAGTCTTCCTCTGGTCCTCCTCCAGACCTTGCACTTTCTGCTTTCCAGCTCTGCCTCCAGCTTCTTCCTAACAGAAGCACAAGGTAAGGCGGGGTACACTGTGATGTAAGGGAGGGCGGGGACTCTTGACTTTTGATGGTGGGGCATTTTAACGTATGATGTAAGTGGGGGGAGGTGCTCTTGGCATCTGCTTATAATTATGAGAATAATACAATTCTATGCTAGTTAAAAAGGTCACATTGCTGGTATAATCCACAAGAAACTTTATTGGAGACTGGAAGAACCATGTTCTGTCTGAGCAATCTCCAATAAAGTTTCTTTTGGATGATACCAGCGGTGTGCAACCCTCCTTTTTAGACTTGCATCATCGGCTACAGTAGGTTTCACTTTGCATTATTGTGATCTGCAGTGCTCTGCAACACAGGCGCATTTATTGTGACTCTGCAGTGCTCTGCAATACAGGTGCATTATTGTGATCTGCAGTGCTCTGCAACACAGGCTCGCATATGGTTGGCAATCTCAAAAAGTTGATAAATTCATACTACAGTACACCGCATTCCAAATTATTATGCAAATTCTATTTAAGTGTCACAAAGATTAAATATTTAGTTTTTCAGTTTAACTCATGGATGGCATTGTGTCTCAGGGCTCTTTTGATCACTGAAAACAATCTCGGACACCTCTAATAATTAGATTGGCCGGTGAGCCCAATTTAAGGAAAAACTACTAAAGGAGGGTGTTCCACATTATTAAGCAGAGCGCCATTTTCAAGCAATATAGGGAAGAAAAAGGATCTCTCTGCTGCCAAAAAGAGTGAAATAGTTCAATGCCTTGGACGAGGTATGAAAATATTAGATATTTCACAAAAACTTAAGCGTGATCATCGCATTATTAAGAGATTTGTGGCCGATTCAGAGCACAGACGGGTTCATGCAGATAAAGGCACATTGAGGAAGATTTCTGCCAGATCCATGCATCGGATCAAGAGAGCAGCTGCTAAAATACCATTACATAGCAGCAAACAGATATTTGAAGCTGCTGGTTCCTCTGGAGTCCCACGGACATCAAGGTGTAGAGTCCTCCAGAGTCTTGCAACTGTGCATAAACCTTCTATTCAGCCACCACTAACCAATGCTCACAAGCAGGAATGGCTGCATTGGGCAGAAAAATACATGAAGACTAATTTTAAAACAGTCCTGTTCACTGATGAGTGCCATGCAACCCTTGATGGTCCAGATGGATAGAGTAGTGGATGGTTGGTGGACGGCCACCCTGTTCCAACAAGGCTGCGACTTCAGCAAGGCGGTGGTGGAGTCATGTTTTGGGCCGGAATCATGGGAACAGAGCTGGTCGGCCCCTTTAGGGTCCCCGAAGGTGTAAAGATGACCTCTGGAAAGTATGTGGAGTTTATGACTGACCACTTTCTTCCCTGGTACAGAAAGAAGAATTATGCTTTCCGTAATAAAATCATCTTCATGCATGACAATGCACCATCTCATGCTGCAAAGAATACCTCTGCATCAATGGCTGTTTTGGGGATAAAAGGAGAGAAAGTCATGGTGTGGCCTCCATCCTCCCCTTACCTCAATCCTATTGAGAACCTTTGGAGCATCCTCAAGCAAAAGATCTATGAGGGTGGGAGGAAGTTTACATCCAAACAGCAGCCCTGGGAGGCTATTCTGACATCTTGCAAACAAATTCAAGCAGAAACTGTCCAAAAACTCACACGTTCAATGGATGCAAGACTTGTGAAGCTGCTATCAAATAAGGGGTCCTATGTTAAAATGTAATGTGACCTGTTAAAATGTTTAAAAAGTTAAAATGCTGTTAAAAGTTTGATTGAAATAGCTTTTGATTTCAGTAAATATGCTGCAAACACAACAAATGACAATTTTCAGTTCTTTACAACCTATAAAGTGTTTTGAAACTTACTGTGCGTAATAATTTGGAACAGTGCATTGTAAGTTTTTTTATGTTTAAAAAAAAATACTGTTATCATTAGGAGGTTTGTTCAATAAAATGTGAATTGTACTCTTAATAGTTGATAACATGCTGACTGTTATTTACATCAATTATTTAGGTAAATTAGAAAAATATCATTTGCATATTAATTTGGAACACGGTGTACACCAATGCACAAAATGTGAATGGACCCTAAATAGATGTTAGCCATATACATTTTTTCAGTCAGAGCCTTCTGCATTGGTATAACTCTGAGATCAAAAACCTAGACTTGTTTTAATCAAAAAGGAAAGACCAGTCCTAATGGAACTCTATAGCTCTGTTTTTTATTTGATTTGCCACTTTTTAAAGAAGATTAAATGATCAGATCTATGATTGTTTATTGCTATGTGTATATGCCAAACTCTGAGAACCATCAAGATGCTGAGAATCTTTTCCCATGACAAACCAGTACCAGGAAGCCAAACACCTCTTCTTCCATCTTCTGGTACAGTCTGTCCCTAAATCTACAAAACAGACTACTAGTCCTAAAGAGACACTAAACTCTGGTTTTAAAAAAGGATGTGTTCTTACCTCAAAAAGCACATTTTACTGCTCAAAAAGTTTGTCTTAGTTTCTATTATAAAATTTTGCAAACAGGTAATTTTTCTCCTTCACTGATTTGAGTTGATGAGGCTACACTGATGGGCACTGATAGGCAGGACTGATGGGCACTGATAAGGTGGCACTGGTGGGCATTAATAAGTAGGCACTGATGAGGTTGCACAAATATGCAGCACTGACAAGCACTGATAGGCGGCAATGGTGGGCACTGATAAGCATCACTGTAGGACACTGATAGGCAGCATTTATTGGCAGCACTGATGTGCACTGATTGGCAGCACTGATGGGTACTGACTGGCAGCACTGATAGGCATTGACTGGAAGCGCTGCTGGCACTGATTGGCAGCACTGATAGGCACTGACTGGCAGCATTGCTGGGCACTGATCGGCAGTACTGATGGGCACTGATAAGGTGGCACTGGTGGGCATTAATAAGTAGGCACTGATGAGGTTGCACGAATATGCAGCACTGACGGGCACTGATAGGCGGCAATGGTGGGCACTGATAAGTAGCACTGAAGGGCACTGATAGGCGGCACTGACTGGCAGCACTGATGTGCACTGATTGGCAGCACTGATGGGAACTGACTGACAGCAGTGATAAGCATTGACTGGAAGCACTGCTGGGCAATAACAGCACTGATAGGCACTGACTGGCAGCATTGCTGGGCACTGATCGGCAGCACTGCTGCTGATACTGATTGGCAGCATTGATGGACCCTGATTGACATTAATTGTCAGCACTGATAGGCACTGTTGGGACTGCAATAATAATCAGGGCACTGATTCCTAGTGTAGATGTCTCCTTTCACATTTGCTGGTTATTGGCAGTACTTTCCTCATGCTACGACAGCATGCGGAAAGTGCTGCCGATAACCAGCAAGTGTGTTACATCATGATCAGCTGTGATTGGACACAACTGATCACGTAGTAAAGGGCCACTGTGATTGGCCCTTTACCGTGACATGTGATCAGCTGTGTCCATAGGACTCAGCGATCACAAAAGTGCTTGGTGCGCGCCTCAGCAGGCAGGGTTCCGGGAAGACATATGACACCCTCCCAAAACCGGACGACCATGCTGTAGCCGTTATTCGGATATAGCACGGTCAGCAAGTAGTTAAAGTGAACATTTCAGTAACTTTAGAAGTTAAATAAATTCCTGAAATACTACAATATACAAAATCTTTACATTTTATTATTAAAAGCTCCAGGCAAGTGACTTTCTGTGACCTAATGAGTTTCCTGCAGGCAGGAGAAAGCATTTCCTCAGACTCCTCTTCTCTAATGATCAAACTTCCACACTATACTTTGTAGCAAGGCAGAAGATCAAAAGCTGTAGCAGGAGCCTGATCTATATCAGGCATTTGTAAACACATCCAATAACTGCACAGTCACTAGGATTTACATTATTGTGTCATCTGTGGGCCACCACCTCCATCTAGGAAGTTGATGGTGACCCTGGATGTACCTAAATATGGATAACACTGTCCTACTGGAAGAAAAAGCAGATGAAGGCATGACTTTGAGAAGCATAGGTGCGTTTTGACCACTAATTTAACAAAACCTTGCCCCCACCCAAAAAAAAAAAACACAGAGGCTGATTACGTTGGAAATAGGGCAAGGCCACAGCTATATTGAACTTTCCAAATGTAACATTCAAAGAACCACATAACAATGCCAGTCACGGTTATACCATGATCATCCATAAAAAAAAAAAACACAGATAGTCTAAGAGGCCCGTATTCACTATCAGTGCCAGACAGGCATTAAACTGACTCCAGAATTAAACTTCAGGGCATAGGCCACAAAGCAATATCAATCGCTGGCAAGGTAAACCCGCCAATAAAGCTGTGACGAAACTCACTGCGAGCGGGGTGGGTGGGCATCTCTTTTGACGTCTGAATCTCCTCCGAGTAGTGGGACATTTCCCTGTGTAGCCTTTTTCTAGAGTTCAGGCTCCACCCAGTTACCTCATGCCTTAGTGACCAATCCTAAAGAAACTACTTAACCTCCCTGGCGGTATTCCCGAGTGTAGCTCGGGGTAAACTTTCAGTACCAAAAGCGGTAACCCCGAGCTACACTAGGGCTTACCATGCGGCGCTGCCCTGGGATCTCTTCTTCACTTACCTTGTCCTGCGCTCCCGCGATGTCCCCCCTGCAGCATCCCCGGCCATCTCCTCCGGCCGATGCCAGCATCCCTCTTCCGGGTTCCGGTCCCTGCGAGCGTCAAGACGTACAGGGGACGGAAATTTCAAAAATTTTAAAAGTGACATTCACCAAATACACTAAAATCACATAGTATTCCATTACTATATCAAAGCATTTCACATGCATTTTGTCCCTAGTGCTTTGTCCTGTGCCCTGCCTGCATTTTGACTGTTCTTTCTACCTGGAAACTGAGAAATGTCCATGGTGCCAAAAAGCGTCCCTTTAGGTCAAAAGCAGTTTTAGACCAGCTAGAAAACAGTGATAGTAAATGAGAACCACTTGCAGAATTGAGTGATAATGAATCGTGGGGAAATTCGTCATCAGACACTGAAAACGATTCTGCGACTAAGCTCAGTGATGGCGCTATATTTAAAATAGACATGAATGAAATGTCTGACATTTCTATAGATTTGAAGGGAAAAATGTGTAAACAGTGTGTTGTGTTGTTACAGTGCTGGCACAGAACAGATACCAATCTGCATGTCAAAATGGATTGTTTTAGCTTGCAGGCATATGTGGATGAGCCCTTACCATGCCTTCCAGAGAGACTGGCACAGTGATAGCTGAAGCTAAAGCATGGACTGACCAAAATTCAGCCAGTGTGTGGCCATCCCTGTTCAACAGAAGTTCATTAAATCAACATCTGTTGAAGTGATGTGCTGTAAAACTTTTGCCGATCAGCAGCTGCAGCCCCTGATCAGTGAATTCTAACTGCTCCGGGTCCAGCTGTCAGAATACAACGTCCCAGCAGGTGGGATTCCTCCAACCACTTTGCTTGTGCGGATATGTTCTTTTTTTTTGACCATCAGGCTGAATGAAATGAACCATCCAAGGCCAGCTGTACAGGCCGCGGCTGTTAAAAGGAATAAACAGCCATTAATAGATACATAAATATATAATTAATTATTTTAAAAAACTGTTAAAGTGACCCAAGGAAAATTGTCAGCACCTAACATTTCTGGATGTGCTATCCCTGCTGTGTTATGGGGTTCCGCTTGCCATGTTACTACAGGAAACATAATAAACAGAAGAGAGGCTGGTGGTAGAAAACACAGTACACAGGGATACCACCCAGAAGTGTGCCAGATGCAGAAATTCTCTGGTAGACTGTAGCTCCTCAAGCGAGTAAAGCTCAGACTTGCCATCCACTGCAGAGGTAAGTATAAAGAGTTTTTTTAATATTTTTTATTTTAAATAACAGAATCAATTTAAGTTTAAAATGTCCTGAAAATACTTTAAAATAAAGACAAATTAAAACACGTTTAATTTTTTGGGGGGCGCCTGGAGCTCTGCTTTAAATAATATGTTAACCCAACAGTTCATTATCCCGATGTGTACCTGCTGTACCAGTACTTGTATGAACAAAATTCTGTTCTCTTTGTATTGCTTGCTTTGTGTGAAATCCCTGGTGTTCCTGCCAGTCCTATTTCAAAAATGTCTACACTAGGCATGAGAGCACAGCATGGTCAGTTCTCTAGCTGTGCTGAGAACTCAGTGTGCTCTCCTCCAATGATCAGACTTCTGCTGACACCACTCCCTGCACAGCCATTCACTGGGAAGATCGGTGTATTGCTGTTTCTCCTCCCCTAGCTCTTTTGCAGGTGAGAAAATATGTGATCATATGTGAACACCTATAAAAAGGGAAAAAAAAGGTGTGTATAATGTTTTTTATAAGTATACACTAATGTTTTACCCTTCATTTCTATGTTAAACGGAATGGGTTGTTTACAATCACTTTAACATAAATTAGGGAAATCCGTGATAGAGTTATTGTCTAGTTAACTGACACATACTGACGCTGCAGATTGCAGAGGAAACAGGAAATGAAAAAGAGAAGCACTACTTTTTGTACAGAAAACGATGGGAACCCTCAGCCAGTACAGAGAAGTCAATGGATGAGTCCCATGACGTCCGTGGGAGCAGCAGACTATTCTAATTTCAGCATCTCTGTAGTTACACTCAGGCTCAAAATTATGACAGTATTTATTTTATTTGAAGCCCAACTTTTGGACAGTGGTGAAGTGAAGAGTTAAAATTTGTGTCATGTTTTTATTTCTGTCTATAACCCAGTTAAAGAGATTTTTCCTCACTAACAGTCCATGTAACACCAGGAGAAATAAATGAGGGGAGCAGTTGTCACTGGGATAGGAAGGCACTGACATCAATAAAATCATTATCAGTAATTCTAACACTTATGTTATATTGTAAAGCGCTGAGCAAACTGTTGGCACTATATAAATCCTGTATAATAATAATAATAACTAGAAAAGCTACAATTTCTGGAGAAATTGTGTGAAGTGTTCTTGCCTCCACCAGTAGTCTACAACTGGAGTGGGCGGAGTAACTGGGTGGAGTGGTTTGAGTAACTGTTGTGTGGTTGGAGTGGCTGGAGTAACTGTGAAAAGGTTGGACTGGGCAGAGTAACTTTATGGAGTGGGCAGAGTAACTGTGTGGAGTGTTTGGAGTGAGTAAAGATAGTAAACATTACACTAACCAATTGATTGATCAAATGTAAAAAGTGCACATGGCAAGCTTGATAGAGTGAGAAATGCATTTCAACTTTTAATTATTTATATAGCACATTTAAATGCAATGTTGTTGCCCAAAGTGCTTCACAGTTACATTAAAACATACATTTATAAAAACATTAGCAGCATTATCACCCCAAATACTCTCTACTGTAGAAAACGTATTTCCAAACCTTTAACCAGAAGCCGGCCAAACTGTCACAAATTCAAAATTAGATTTTCAAATAGGGCAGAGAAGAGCGGTTAAAAACAAACTGCTCCAAATTGCTCACTTCACTGGAGTCTTCAAATGGTCGTAGTTTTAAAAACTATAAATCCTACAGCGAAGAGCTTTATATTGTGAGAATCACAAGACCCAGACCTACATTTTGATGCATAGTATGTCTCTGAAATATTAAAAATGAAGGCACAGTCACAGTTTAGAAATTGCCATCCGCTTATGACCTATTGTATTGACGATGATACAAACTCCGCATGTTACCCCCTCCCTTACTTTACCCCTTCCCTGTGCTCCCCTCCCCCCTCCCCCCTTTTTTTTTCTATTTTTCTTGCTCCCATCTTTTCTTCTCGCTTCTTCCTCTTCTTACATGCTCTTATACATCTTAGGTACTCATTATAGGAACATTTGGCATGTTGATAGCATACCTCTCTTATTTTTATTAGCGGCCCTCACGACAATTTACATTTGCATTCAGATACCTCTATCGTCTTAAGATTGTAGCAATGCCTTTTACATAAGCTCCGCATCTATTCTCCCTTTCTTTACAGACCTACACATCGAGATATATTTACAGCAGGTCCGGCGCCACAATCCTCCAAATCGCTTTTTAATAATGCCTGAGTATTACAAGCATAACCCTGTTGCGGCCTAGTATATTAATACTATCCATATATTTGCATTTTATTCCATTCTTTCATGTTTTACGCATTGCCAAATGTCTTTTCTCCACTTCATTTGCATATTCCCTATGTCATTCTGTATTTCATTAATAAACTTTTATGGAATAAAGAAAAAAAAGAAATTGCCCTTCAAATTTGAGGTGGCTAGAGTGCAGTTTCAATGAATGTCAATAAGCGGCGCGAGTTGCAAACAGATGGTCATATTGTGAAAACTATCAGGACTATGGCGTAGCCGTGGACATTTTTGGTGGCAGCAGGGATAGCTAAACGTTTTGATATACGATGTGTGTAGGTGGGCTTGAAAATGAGGGAGTGATGGCAGTTTAGAAATCATGTCCTGATTTTTCAGCTCACACTCTAGCTTTTGTCAGCTCCCACTTTGAACATTCCGCCATTCATTCCTATGGGACCAATTTCACCACAAAAACGCTGATATTTGTGAACCATTCGGCGAAACGTTCCACAAAGTAATAGCACACCAATCGGGAACAATCCGCACGTTTCGGTATATTACTGTCTATGTAGTGTAAAAACTGTGGGAGGAGTTAGGGTGGTAAATTTGGCTATAATAATAGGAATATATATATATATGAGATAACAGTAAGTGGTCTTGCCATGCAAGAACATTTAATTGTCAAGTCTATTAATAATACTGTCTTATAGGCAAGTGCAACCTGGCCTCCGTCCAGATGGTGGTGCTGTGCCACTGTACAGATGGAGTGTAGTCTTAAAGCAGTATGGAACCCAAACCCAAAAATGTAATATATTGTAGCTTACCAATCATTAGATATGGTGGCTGTTTTAGTTTTCATTTTTAGTCTGGTTTTCCCTCTGTTTTCACCTGATTACTAGTGACACACCTCCTGTATTAGAGTGTTCCTACTTTGGATGAAGGAGCACAGGGGGCATAGCAGACAGCAACCTTTTTAATCTGGGGGGAGGAGAGTGTTAAATGTACTAGCAGATTTAGATACACTAACACATTAAAGCCAAACTGCAGCTCACACTGCAGTTCCACAAGTAGTTACAGCAGCAGTTTTTTATTCGCTTTGGGAGAAAGGATTTTTATATGAATAAATAAAAGCTGATCATTGTAAATAGCCCTGTCAGTGGTAAATGGTCTATATCAACACTCCTACACTGCTACACTTGTAGGACAGATTGTTCTTTTGAAAAACACAGGCTTACTGTCTGGATCACCAGATGAAAATAAAGGAAAGACTAAAAAAAGAACTAATGTAGCCATCATATCTAAGAATTGGTATGCTGCAATATAATAAATGTTTGCTTTTGGCTTTATTACTGCTTTAAAGGAGAAGTTCAGGATGAAAAATAGACAAGCAATTATACTCATCTAGGTGGATGCAGCATCAATCTAATGCTGCATCTGTTTCCTGGTACCTCTAAGACAGAGAACTGAGAGACCAAAGACCACTGATCACTCAGTTCTCGGTCTTCAGTGAACAGAGAGATGGTTACAGTCAGTCACCAACTCTGTTCTGTGCCTCCAGCACTCACTGGAGTGTTGGGCTGTGGAGGGGCAGGAGCTGAGCCAGTTGTTGGTCAGGAATCTGGATGGATCCCAGCTCTAAAGTCAGGATCTCTCCAGAGCCTGAACCGGCTCAATGACATTAGTCAACAGCGTGCTCTCGCTTGCTGTTGGCTGAATACAGTCACAGGAGTGTAGAATGAAGTGCACTCCTGTGATATTTTAAGAGGAAAATTGTTCCTTTACAGACTCTGTAGTTGTCACAGGGGTTGCAGTGGTCTAATTGGGAGCTGCAATTTCTAATGACCCCTGGCAGCCATCTTGGCGTGGGATTAAAAAGTAGGGTGCCCATGCCACTCAGGCAACCATGGAGCAAGTGGACAGGTGAGGAACACAAAGACCCCACCTAGGTAGGGAGAGTTGTCAATGCAGGGAAAGGTTCCTGAGTGAGTAGGGTCAGTGCATGGACACCACTTCAATCGGAGAGTCTCTTCAACAACTTAAAGTGCCTATGACTACTATCTGCAAATACCTCTGTTAACCATATTAAATTATACAAAATATTACACCACATTCCGGACTGTGTTTGTGTGATCTCTCTCAGGACGGGTACCACAGTCACAGGCCCCGCCTACAGTTGTGTCCTGCACAATGGTAGGCAAAGTAGTTATTAACAAGTTCAAGTATCTGTTAACCATGAGCAGCCTTTTGAGTATATCATAATAAGGACAGGAACTGGGACTAATGTGTACAGAGTATAGAAAGTATTATGCATGTAACTCTAAATAATGACATCTACAGGCCAATGATATGAACAACACAAATGTGTGAAAGGTCTTTTATCAATTCCTGTTCTGAATTTCTTCCAAAAGGGCCACAGAAAACTAAACAAACCTGATAGGAGGCTGTAGTCCTTCTCCACTCTATCCAAAGCAAACATTTTGACTAGAGCAGCATGAGGGCTACATCCAGGGGCGGACTGACCATTTGGAAACTCGGGCACTGCCCGACGGCCCAGGATCAGTAGGGGCCCCTGGTACCTTTTTCATAGGCTTTTTTGAGTTTGGGCAAGGACACAGGGGCCCCATGATCCCCTATTGCCTGGGGGCCCCATGAGTTGTCAGTCCGCCCCTGGCTACATCATATATTTTACAAATATCCATGGGCCAAAAAAAGTCTCCATAAGAGTTCCCCTTACATCAGAATCTCTATCAGGGTCCCTCTTACTTCAGGGTCCTCATCAGAGCCCCCTTACATCAAAGTCCCCATCAAAGTGCCCCTTTACATCAGAGCCCCCCCTAACATTATTATTATACAGTATTTATAAAGCGCCAATAGTTCGCTCAGCGCTGTACATTACAAAGGGGGACAGAACATGTGACAGAACAATAACAATACAATGCAAAACATGAGGGGATCAAGGGCCCTGCTCTTTCGAGCTTAAAATCAGGGTCCCCATCAGTGTCCCCCCTTACATTAGAGCCCTCCATTACTTCAGGATAACTGTTGGCTGGATGTGGCCTGCAGGCCAAAGTTTGAAGACTCTGGACCAAAGCATAGTTGCCAATATTTAAAAAAAAAAGTAAAACAGGGATGCCTATTTTTTCCTGTGCAGACCTATTGTAGGCATTCAATGTACTTTAATTAGAAGCAGGGTATTGAATTAAAATGAGCATGGTTCTACTAGAGGCACATCATTTACCTATTGTACATGTAAATTTAAATAATAAGGACAGAAGCACAGCCAATAAGGTATTAATCCATTATTATAATTATGTATGTATTTGTTTAACTAACTACAACTTTTAGTCTGTGCAGGGTATTTAACCACTAGCCTACAGGGCACTTATACCCCCTTCCTGCACAGGCTAATTTTCAGCTTTCAGTGCTGTTGCACTTTGAATGACAATTGCGCAGTCATGCAATACTGCACCCATATGAAATTTTTATCATTTTTTTGACTGATAGAGCTTTCTTTTGGTGGTATTTAATGACCTCTAGTTTTTTTATTTTTTGCTAAACAAACCAAAAACAACTGAAAATTGTGGAAAAAAAAAAGTTTTTTCTTAGTTCCTGTTATAACATTTTGTAAATAAGTGATTTTTCTCCGTCACTGATGTGCGCTAATGAGGCTGCAGTGATGGGCACTGATGGGCACTGATGAGGAGGCACTGGTAGGTGGCACTGATGGGCATTGACAGGCATCACTGATGGGCATTGAAAGGCAGCACTCATTTATGGCACTGATAGGTGGCACTGATAACTGGCACTGATAGGCGGCACTGACTGGCACTGTTAGGTGGCACTGGCTGGCACTGTTAGGTGGCACTTATAGGCAGCACTGACTTACACTGATAGGCGGCACTGACTGGCAGTGATAGGTGGCACTGACTGGCACTGATAGGTGGTACTGACTGGCATTGATAGGTGGCATTGACTGGCACTGATAGGTGGCACTGAAAGGCAGCTCAGATGGGCACTGATATGTGGCATTGATGAGCACTGGTAGGCACTGATATGTGGCATTGATGTGCCACTGATGGGCACTGGCAGGTGGCATAAATGAGCACTGACAGGTGACACTGATGGAGCTGATGGAGCTACACTGATCATCAGGACACACTGATCATCAGTACCCTGATGATCAGTGTAGATGTCCCCTCTGAGGGATGCCGATTACCGGCTCTCCATAGTGACAGCTCGTGAGGAGAGAAATGCCAATAACCGGCCTTTCCTTATTTACATGCGATCAGCCAACATCTTCGGCTCTTTCCGTTGATCGGTGATCTGCTGTGTCCGAGGGACACAGCACACCACCGATCGTCGCGCTGTGCGCCCCCCGATGTGATTCCCACATGGCTCTAAGGAAGAGAGGATCCCCCCTCGAAACGTGTCAGCCACTTTCTGAGTGTATTCCTGCATGTGGAACTCTCACAGTACTCCAGATCATGGGCCTATGAGGGTCATGATATGCTTGTATAATTTTAGCATCTGTGAGTATACTTCTGTTACTTTTACTAACAAAACATTTTTATTGAGGTAATGCACGAGGCTTGTGCACACTTTTCATTTTCATATTATATAAGCAAAGGAGCCAGAGATAGTTTAAAAAAAAAATGATGGGGTTTCCCCATCAATTCATACTAGGGCCTTCAGGTGATAGCTGATAAAAGCAATGGGACTAGAAAAATTTCAGTGGTTGGCCCACATCATGACTGATGTGGATCTGCATTGCTGGAAGACATGATTGACTGGGGATATACTTATCATTACAGGGAGCTTCCAAATTCTGACAAGCCAGCAGCCCACAGACCCACAGAAACCAAGGTTGTGGGAAAGAGGCTCTTGTGCGCATCAACATGGGGTGCATAATCAGAAAGTGTCTGAAAATATGCAGCAGAAGATTAGCAGCACAGAGCTGATTGCTGAAAAAACAAACAATTGTTTGACATATTGTTCTTTAGTGAACTAAATTTTGTCCAGGGTATACTTTAAATCACCACTGTCATCCACTATTAAATTTACCCATGCAGTGGGATGCCCTGCTCAATGCATAGGTTAAGGTGTAACTACAAGGAAAACAGTTTTTTTTATTCTGGATACAGTAAGAGAGGGTTATAACCTCTGTCAGTTTTTTGCCATCTGTGTCCCATTGAGAAGATTTCCCTTCACTTCCTGTCCCATAGCCAAAACAGGATGTAAGAGAAAATCCCTCCACAGAGAATCCCAACGTGTCACCAAGATTACCAGAATTAGTCCCCATTGGAAGATTTCCCCTCTATTACTGTTCTGGTGTCAACCCAAAATGTGGGATTTTCTTTTGCTTTCACTTCCAATTGTAATGGTAAACAGGACAAATAGTGAGTGAATCTCCCTAACGGGGGCACAGACAGCTATAAAAACCTGTCGGGTGTTATAATTCCTTTCCACTGTATCCAGAACTAAAAAAAGTATTCCCTGCTCCTGCAGGTTTCTTGCTATTCATGCATTTGGTCCCCTGTAGCCTCTTAACTTAGCTACCTGGCCACTCTCAGCTCTCTGACATTATCACTTACAATGGGGCAGCACAGTGGCTAAATGGTTAGCCCATCTGTCTGGCAGTACTAGGGGTTGTTGGTTCAAATCCCAACCATGGCACCACCTGCCTGGAATTTGCATGCTCTCCCTGTGCCTGTGTGGAATTCCTCCAAGTACTCTGGTTTCCTCCCACACTCCAAAGACATGCTAGTAGGTTAATTGGATCCTGTCTAAACTGGCCCTAGTGTATGAATGTAAGTTAGGGACCTTAGATTGTGCACCCCTTCAGGGTTAGGGACTGATGTGAATGTACATTTTGTAAAGCGCTGCAATTGACAGTGCTATATAAGTACCTGTATTGTGCTGGACACTGAGGGCCTGCCCACCATCAACTTGGAGTGGGGCACTAATCCTTCACAGACCCTAGCCTACCAAGGGTTTTACCAAAAGATAACACAAAGAGCATGGAGCAGAGAGAAATGTTGATTTATTCTGTCTAGATTGTGAGGGCAGATCTGGTCAATCGGCAATAAGCGCTGCATAACGTTCGGAAATCAAGTTCCAAATTTTACATTTCTATTTCTAACCCTGCTCTAGGAGAGTTTTGAGATTGGAATTGGTTCATTTGGGCATCATGAGAATTTACTTGCTTTTAAAAATAATAACAAAAAAGGGAAGGAAATAAACATCTTAAATGACAACAGCTTGTGTAACACACATTTTTGTGTGAACACACAATGATCAGGGCTTTAGAATCTGTGAATTTTAAAATAAATTTGTATATTTATTAGTAGTGTATCATGTTATTTATGATGGTTAAATATTTATGTCATTGGTGTGTCTGTATTGTAATTTACTGGGTGGGGATTTACTAAAACTGGAGCACTCAGAATCTGGTGCAGCTGTGCATGGTAGCCAATCAGCTTCTAACTTGTTCAGTTAAGCTTTGACAATAAAATCTGGAAGTGGATTGGTTTCTATTCAGAGCTACACCAGATTTTCACCCTCCAGTTTTAGTAAATCTCCCCCAATATATGCACGGTTTAGGAAGTTTCATGTTCACAGTCTGTTGATTTTGGACTGTCTGTGAACCTGCCTTCACCTCTGAGAAGACTGCAGGTACCAAAGTGTATAATGTAAAGGGGGCTGCTAGCTGTAAAAAACAATCATAATCAGATTTATCTTTTTTGGAATTAGTTAAAACACCATTTCCAATTGAATGATATTGGTTATTGCACTTAGGAGATTGTCATCAACAGATCCTTTTGCCTTAACCATATAGGTGCCAGATATTTGGTCTATTAGGCTAGGTTCACACTAATGCGGTAAATTGCATATGATTCGCACAGGAACCACACCGCATTCCTGTGCAAATCACATGCGATTTGTGTGCAGTGTGATCAGAGCCATAGATTTTGTATGGCTCAGATCGCACCGCACCCACACCAAAAAGGTGCAGGACCCTTTTTTGGGTCTGCTCTAAAATCAGATTGCATGGGTATTCACAAATATGCGATCCAATTCTGTACATCGCACCACGTTTTGCGGACCGATTTCGGGGTGTTGTTAACTTAACATACACACCCGCATCGGTTCGCATGAAAGGGTGCGATACTGATACGGTGCGGAATTCGCACAGAAAACGTCGCAAATTCCTCACCGCATCAGTGTGAACTCAGGCTTAAAGTGGAAGTAAACTCCCACTGGACACTTGTACCTACAGCCAAGCTTATAATACCTTGTAGGTACAAGGAATATCTCCTAAACATGCTCCAATTAGGAGATATTCAGCCAATGATATTCAGCCGACAATGTCACCAGCACATGAAGGAACAGCATACCCGTGCCATTCCTTCAAAACTCTGTGCCGTGGCCAAGACTCCCACATGCATGCGCGCATGAGTGACGTCATCATGACTTTGCCAATCAAGTGGCCAGAGCCTGCAAATCTTGAAGGAAGACCATGTGAAGATGTAAGCCCTGTCAGCAGTGACAGCTCACCACTGGAGGTCTTTATTCTAAGGTAAGTCTTTCATAATGTGCTAGTATGCAATGCATACTAGCATATTATGACATTATTTTGCAAGGGAATTTTTTTTTCTAATGGTGGTTTACTGCCGCTGTAATTTTACCTTCCCCTTTATAATGGAGATGAGGAGAGGGTGAAGTGCATTTTGTCAAATTAAGGAGAGCAGGGTGGCATCACGTTTCTTTACATATACAACATGGTAAGTGAGTGCTGTCATTCACCATGTTGTATGTAGGAAGTATGTTACTGGCAAGGTCATCAGGTAAAACTGAAAGAAAAATAAATAATAAATATAATAAACAATAAAAGAAAATAAGCCTAAACCTGAACTCCAACTTCACCTTCAAGTGATTAAAAAGTCTTTTTAAAAATAAGAAACATGTCCTACTTACCTGCTTTGTGCAATGGTTTTGCACAGAGCAGCCCCAGTCCTCCAGGCTCATCCCCCATTCTGAGTGCCCTCACAGGAAGTTGCTTGCTATGGTAGCACTCATGCAGACTCGCTCCTGAGCTGTGCTGTGTGTGTCCATTGACACACACAGTGCGGCTTGGCCCGACCTTCCTCTATCTCCTCACTTTCTGTAATTGAGCTGTTGGCTCCTGCTGCTGCTTCTATCTCTAGTGAGGAGAGAGAGAGCTGCTGCTCTTGAGCACAACGCTAGATCGAGAGCAGGTTCCTGGTGAGTATAAGTCATACACAGAAGGTTTTTTCAGTTTAATGTCACAACGAACAGACATTTTTCCTTTCAGTGACACCAATGATGCAGGTCACTTTTTCCATCTAATGACACCAGTTTCAGGGACATTTTTTCCTCTTCAGTGACATCACCAACTCAGGGACATTTTTCCTTTCAGTGACACCACTGACCAGGAACATTACTGTTGCTGGTAATCAGTAACCAGGCATCATGTGATCTCTATGATTAGCGAGCATATGATAGCAGTGTAAATGACCTGCCATGAACGGGGTTCCATTCATGAACAGCTTGCTTACTATTGTGATCTATAATTGGCCCAAAGCAATCACATGGTACCTGGTTACTTGTACCATGTGCATAGCTTAGCCAATCATAGATCATAATCAAAAGCAAGCTGTTTATGAATGGTTAACCCATTCATGACAGGTAAAGTTATTGCCTATACAGTGACTTTCGCTGTATAAGTAGTAACAGTGTAAACAAAATAAATCCCTGACCACCCCCCAGAGTAGTATAGTGTTACTATGGTGACACGGAGCTACTCTGACGAGAGGGTGTAAAAATTTGTAAAAACAAAGTAAAAAAAAACTTTAAAAACATTGAAAGACGGGCGTGTCCGGTCGCTCCTTGATAGAGCTCCTCAGCCATCCCAGCTCTGACAGCAGCTCTAGCGAGACTCGCAGGCTCCCGATCCTCAGCAGTGACAGTCTCTCTCTCCCCAGACTGCTCCGATACCATGCCCCGCCGCCGAAAGTCTCTTGGTCAGCCGCAGAAGCTGACAGACTTCTATCCAGCCAGGGATCTTCACAGTCAAGATGATGCCGCCACACTCACACAGCAAGAATCAGCCTACACTCCTGACCCATGGCTGTCAATGCCACTGTATGATGGGGATCCGGGTGAGTCCTCTCCTTCTATGTCCCCTACTACACGCAGCCCAGACAAATCAAGGCCCAGAATTGAAGAACCCACACATGCAGTATTACATATGCCTACTCTCCTCCATGCTCCTGCCTCGCAGCTACAATCTGCTATAGAAGCATTCGCAGCCTCTGATCAGCC